GGAAGGAAGGAAGGAAGGAAGGAAAGAATAGTTTATTGGGGAGTCTAGGTGAACCAGGCTGTAGTCCTTGATCTTCTGCAGCAAGTCTTTTAACTCCTCATTACTTTCAGTAAGCGAGGTTATATCATCTGCATAACACAGGCTCTTTGTAAATCTTCCTCCAATCCTTAAAAATGTAGCCAGAGTGCTCCTTGGAGGCAAAGATGGTGAAGCTTCCCTTCTCATACTTTGGAAATGTTGCTAGGAGAGGCTATTCCTTGGAAAGGGACATCATGCTTAGAACAGTAGAAGGTCAGCAAAAGAGAGGAAGACCATTGACAGGATAGACTGACCCAGTGACTGTGGAAATGGGCTCAAGAATGTGGAGACAGCACAGGATAGATCAGGGATCAGATATGTTGTACATATGGTCACTGCGAGTCATACTCAACTCGACAGCGCCTCACAACAATGACAACCAGATGGACAAGGCACTGTGCTTGTGTTGGAATCTAGCAGGAAGACACCAAAGCATGTATTTTTCCTGTGAGCATCACTTCTGAAATTTAATCTGTGGCACAACTCTTTGGCACTAAGGAGTCATGTCCGCTTGCTGGACCTTGTTCCTCCTCAAGCAAGTGAAGGGATCTCTCTCCTGCTGACCCCATTAGGGGCTGTCGTGAGATTAAAATGAAATATAATGGTGAAAGGAAGCACAAAACACTCTTCAGGGCAGATGGCAAATAGGTGGTTTTCAGACACACATGCTCTTCAGGACCATCTGAGGAAGCTTATTAAATACACAGAATCCTGTGGGTCTTATTCAGTGGCTCTTAGAGTCTTGTCTTAAAAACGCCCTGGTGATACTAATGCTCTGACAGGTTTATGAAACCTTGCTCCAACTCGTGTTTATAAATGTAAGAGATGAATGTTACTTCCCTGGATTTCACTTCCTCTTTCCCATTCCAGTTAAGATTTGGTCATCCCTGGCAGGTCTCTTCCTGAGGTTTTCATTCCATTCATTCCTTTGCTGACAGGACTCTGCTGCCTCTTAGCACCTCCTACTAATGTTCTTTAAACAACCAAAGACCCGGGGGAGAGGGGAGAATGCAAGAGAGTGAAGTCTGGTTCAATACATAGGAAGCAGGAGAGTGGAGAGTTTGGTTCAATACACAGGCTTCCTTCATTACCTGAACTGGGTGAGCAGGCCTGGAGGCTGCCCAAGCCACAAGGTAGAGAACCAGAGTTTGACTAAGCAGCTGAAGTATTCAGGTGGTGTTTTACCCCTTTGCCTTTGGCTAGAGAAAATATGTCCTGGTAGAATCCCAAGGGACACATCTTGTGTTTATTTTACTAGCTTAGCTTGTGGTTTCCCAACCTTGCTGAGTACTTCTGGGGGTTAAGAAAGACTGAGAAAACTTTTTCCATTTGGAGTTCTCAAAGATTCCTAGCAAAAAACAAAACAAAACAAAAAACCACCAAACCCCACCATGGCATGGATGGTTCCAAACAAGAGTCTTGGAGGGTCTTCCTATTAGTGTATGGATGTCATACTCCACCCTGTCTCTGTTTTGTTTTGTTGGTTTTTTGTTTTAATTGATTTTTATTGCTTACTGCCTCCCCAGCTTGCTCCAGCTTCAGAGAGCGTTGGTACTGTTCACCAGCCTGTGAGAATGGTTGCCTGGGATGTGGGAACAAGGGAAGCACACAGCTGCAGACTTGGCCTTGAGGGATCATGCACGTCGCTACTGGGGGGGCGGGGAAGCAGACATTGTGCACATGGGGAGACCGAGACCCAGAGAAGGGACCTGACTTGCTGATTCCCATACTAATCTCTCTTTGGTGCCTGTGCTGTCGTTAGGCTTGGGGTTTGAGTTCTTTCTGTCTGTCCATCCTTCTGTCGGTAAATATGTCTTGAACTTGTGATGCCCTGACGTTACCGAAGCAGCAGCCTGCAGCCCAGGACCTGGCAGAGAGTCTGCTCTGGATGGAGGCGGCCTGTGACCTCGTCCTGTGGCTGCTAACAAGCCGCGTGACCTAGAAGAAGCCGTTTGAGTCTCTACATGCCGTTTTGTCTCTGTGCCCCAGGAAGCTGATTTTCTAGGGCCCTTTCAGTTTCAGGCTTTTGAATGTCAGATTCCATTTTAGACTTCAGCCAGCCTGCCCGAGCCAAGGGATCTGCTCATGAAACAAGCTTCGCTGGCTCGGAGGCTCCCAGAGTCCCTTAGGGGACATCAAGACAAGAGCCACCACTCTTGCCTAAGGTCACAGCAGCAGAGGGGAGCCAGGAATAGAAACCAGCCTCTGCCTCCTGTTCACCACCCCACCCTCCCAGCAGAGGCAGAGAGGCCCCGGGCACCAGGTGGATGTAGGAGAGCTTGACTGCAGATCCCTTAGAGCTTCTTATTTACTGTGAGCTAGGGACAGGCCAGGAGGGGGAAAGGCTGCTCTGGAGGGAGATTCTATCATCAGAATCAGGGAGGTTTCTGAACCAGCATCTACTTCAGCTCTTCAAGACTGTGTCCCCTGGGGCTGCGTCTGCTGTGTAGGGTCACTGGGAGTCAGAATTAACTCCACAGCACTGGCTGGCTGGGTGCGGTTTGGACACAGACCATCCTCGTTTCCAGGCATTCTCCAAACACAAGTTCCCTGAGGGGTTGAAGAGCCAAGCTTCTTTCAGTCTGAGGAAAAAACTAGAAGTTCTAGAACTTCATTTTCCATCTGTGTAATTTCTGATTTGTTTACCTGTTAAAAGCCTTTTGGCGTAGGCCTCATGGTTCCAGCATTTAAGCAATGGGATTAGAATAGGAAGGACAGTTGGCCTGGGCCTGGAGAATGACAGCTCCAGCTGGCCCTTGGAACTGTTAACTGGCTCAGTCCTTATTTTCAGATGATGGAGAAATGAGAGGAGCAGAGAGACCCAGGCCAATGACAGAAGACAGGCATCCAAACCATCCTTCCTCCACACTTTTCTTGCTTCCTTTAAACAAGCCAGGGTCACTAACCTCTCGTATATTCAGTTTCTTCCTCAAAAACTCCAATTCACTCAGCCACCAAACTTAGGTTCCAGGAATGATGCCTCAGGGAGGAGGGACGCTCAGTATTGCTTCTTGGAGGCCTGTGGCCAAGCCTCCTTGTCCCCTGGTGTGAAGGATCCTACAACATAAAGTCCAAGGACTTCCTTATCTCACTGTTAAAATGGAATAAAATACTGGGGGCAAATGTCCTCTTAGCTGCTTGGCTTCTGTGAAAATAAGCTGCAAGTATCGTCAACTGGGGCCGCTGACAGGGTGGGACCCAGAAACTCTGCTTCCTAGAAGGTCTGTGCTCAATGTCTGGAGGAAAGGACGAACCTACACTGTATATCCCTTAAGAGTGGCTGTGGTTGAGGCTCATCCCAGAGCCCAGGTGGCTGTGTTTCTACTTCATGAATGCTTGTGAATCCTATGTGCCAGGTGCTGCTGAAAGTCAGAGTCCACCTGGTTGTGAAACTTAATGTAATGCATGGTAGGATGCAGGCTCGTGAAGAAGAGAGGGTGGGCAGGGGAAGCGCCTGACGCTGAAGTCTGATGAATGAGAAGCACTCAGCGGGTAAAGCTTGGCAATTGGTGTTGGCTGCTCATTTGAGTCCTTGTCCAGAGTCCCTGGATGGTATAAACAGTTAATGCATTTGGCTTCTAATCACAGAGCTGGAGGTTCAAGTCCACCAGGGGCACCTCAGAAGAAAGGTGTGGGTGTCTGCTCTTGGAAAAAAGCAGCCCCTGGTGGGGGCACAGCTCCACAGTGACCACAGGGGTCACCACGTGTCAGCGTCAGCATCACATCCACAAGCACAGACTATGCCCTTGACTGACTAAATTAGAAGTTCTGGGTTTGGAACCTGGACATGAATATCAGAGATTCCAAAGTGTAGCTACAGTGGGGACCACTGATTGAAGACCTAATTTGAGGCTGAGGCTTACAGGGGAGTGGAAAGGTTACACAGGGGGCTGTTGTTGGTTGTTTTGTGTGTTGAGCCTCCTCACGCTTTCTAGGGCAGCCATGAGGATTACCTTTTGATTTTGGGTCCAGGGTGGGAGCAGGAAGAATGGAAAGGGAGGCAGAAAGGGGAAGGGGAAGAAGAGAAATTTGGGGCTAGAACATCCAAGCCCTCTATGCTATTGTCACCAAACCACGCCTCCCTTACTGCCAGGACCTCCTGCAGAATTCTCCCAATTCCATGTCTGGAGTCTCCAATAACCCCCAGGGGATTGTGGTCCCAGCCTCAGCGCTTCAGCAAGGCAACATCACCATGACAACTGTCAACTCACAAGTTGTGTCAGGTCGGTGCAAGGAACAGGTGCTGGGGGATGTGGGCAACCCCCTGGGAGTGAAAAGGGTGGTCCTGAGGGCTTTGGGGAGCAGGGCAGTGCACAAAGCATTAGGGGGAACTGGAGGGCACCCCTGCAGAATGAGTGATTCATAGCTCAGCTTCTCAACTAAAGTGTTCTGTTTGCAGAGGCTTAACACCAAGGCTCCCATGTAGTGAGTAGAGGGGCTTTGGACAAATTTAGATCAAATTCCGGAGACTCTTGTCCCGTCTCAGACACTCCGTTGACTAGAGGGCCTCTCCTATCCTCCATCACACCCGTTACCTTGCTCTCAGCTCTGACCACCAGGCTCCCACTTCCCCTGGGAATTCTTCCTAGCCACCCTATCCAGAGGCTGAGTTCCTACTGTTCACAAGGGGGAGAAACACACTCCCCTCCCCAAGACACCGGAGCAGAGGGTCTTTCCATGTGAGTCCAAGTGAACTGGGAGCCCTGCTTGCACTCATTGCTACTCAACCCCCCCCCCCCAGAAGGGACCCAACAACTGGTTGTCTCCTCAGGTGGAGCCTTATACCAGCCGGTTACCATGGTAACCTCCCAGGGTCAGGTGGTCACCCAAGCAATCCCCCAGGGAGCCATCCAGATCCAGAACACGCAGGTGAGTGGACAGGCGTGTGCACATGTGCATGGCATGGGGTGGAGTATGGATTCCTCACCATCAGCAGGGCACTTTGCACACACTAACTCGCTGAGCCCTCATCCTGCATCGGAAGGTGTCATCATCCCCACCTGACAGAGATACGCGGGTCTAGGAAATGTTTCCTCAGCTCCCGGGACTGTCTTGCTTCCTGCACACATCCAAGGATCCTGGCACTTCTTAGCTCTACCCTCCAGATTTAGCCACCATGCACCTCGGTGTGGACATGTGGAATGTGAACACACAAGAGGAGACACATTTTTCTTTTTACAAGTGGGGCCTAAAGTCCGAATCCCTAGCATTAGCTCTGTGATCTTGGCTAAGTCACCTAACCTCTCTATACCTGCATAATTATTATTGATAATACGGGAATGAATAACAACAGCACATAGCCCAGCCAACCTACACACTGGCTAGGAAGGTGCTTTCCAAACTGTCAAGTGTCACAGAGATGCTACGAAGTATTAGATGGTGTATGGTCATTTCACATCTTCTATACCCTCTGCATGACCATTTCTTCGATCTCGTTCCTTCTCCTCCCTTTTCCCTTCCTTTCTCTCCCAACCTCAGCCTCATCTCCATTTTCTGAGAGGCTGATGTGGGGTGAGAGAGAAAGGTGTCCTCCCCAGGGCCCTTAGAATGAGTTGGGAAAGGGGATTGGCAGCTCAGGCCTGCTGTCACTATGGCAACAGGTCCCTCCTGCTGGCCTGCCAGGCTGCTGATGCTGCTTTTTTCTCACGTGCCCTGAAGGTTAACCTTGACCTCACCTCCCTCCTGGACAATGAGGATAAGAAGTCCAAGAACAAACGAGGAGTCTTGCCCAAGCATGCCACCAATATAATGCGTTCTTGGCTCTTCCAACATCTCATGGTGAGTGTGTGTGTGTTGGGGGAATGGAGTTGCAGTGTGGGCTGTGAATAATGCCTTGGGTGCCCAAGTTTGTGGTCATCCCCAAATCAGGAGAGGGTGTCTTCAGGGATAGTATTATCAGAAGCAAGGATGTTATCTTCTGGAGGCAAAGTCAGAGGGGAATCTTCAGGAGAACTGACACAGGAATACCTTCTCCAGCTTTTGCTTTGTTGTTGCTGCTGCCTCAGAAAGGTGTTACATCACATGAGGTAACGGGGGCAGAAATATTTTGCAGAGTTCAATACTGGGCTAGTGTATGTACCACATTGTTTCAGTAACAGATTGAAGTCCCATGAGGGTGGGAGTTAACGGAGACCCTTCTTCCTGCTGGCAGACACATTCAGCTTCCCTCTCTTCTGTGGAAGCAGATATTGGTTCTCTGCCAGAACTTTTGTTCTGTTTTTGCAGACTCTGCCCTGCTTACATGTGGCTAGAGAAGCAGGGTGCATGTGTCCAGCTTTCTCTGGATCCAGGCTGCTAAATGAGGATCAGTGTAGGGGACCCTAACTTAAAGTGTGGACTCTGGGAAGGGGCAGCAGGCCTGGCTGAAATCCTCGCTCCTTCAGCCAGCTCTGTGGCACAGAACAATAGATGCTGTACTTGTGAAAATAGCAATAGTGTCTCGTGTTCAAATGTCATTTATAAAATGCCTACTGAGCACCTCACACATCAGAGTGGTCTTTGTGCGCTGGGGTAGGTGCAACAGATCCCTTTGATTGGATATCAGGAATTACTTCAAAACTGTAATCTTCTAGTACCAGTTTCAAAGAAGTAACAATAAAAAAAGAAAGGTCAATGTCTCCAGGTCTAGCCTGGGGTGGGGGGGTGGTGTGTGAGAGAAAGAGAATGATGTGGATGCATATTCTGCGGCCGCAGGTGCAAGAGCAGTCTGCATGCTCTTGGCTTGTCCTACTTCCAATCTCGTGGACACATGGATACAAATCAAATACTGAGAGACTGGAGACATGTTGCAGAGTCCCAGTGCAGAGCAGTTAAGTGCTCAGCTACTAACAGAAGGGTTGGTGGTTTGAACCTGCTCAGAGATGCTTTGGAAGAAAGGCTTGGCCATCGACTTCCAGTCATTGAAAACCCAGTGGGGTACAGCTGTACCCTGTGATGTGAGGGTTGCTGTGTGGTGGAGGTGATGTGATGGCTCATTGAGTTTGGTTTTCCTTGGTTTATAGACATGTTGTCCTGAGAACTCCAGAGAAAAACCAGGGGCAAGGGGCGGGGAATAAAATAGATAATGAGAATGAATTAATCAGTGTTATGTGGAATGTATCTCGGTATCTGTGACGGCCACTTGAACTGGGCCGTGGCTCCCTGACTTTGGTGGTGGCATCAGCTGTGGTCTTAAGGACACTGCATCCCCCTATGCATGCACTCCCCCAAGTCCAAGCACTGGGGCCTATCTCCAGGGTTTTACCCAGCAAGCACAGTGTATCAGTGGGCTTCAGTGGAGTTGGTGGGCCCATGAGCTACATGATACATGAGTGACAGATTCATGAGAGAAAGGCCTTCTAGGGACAAGTCCATCTTCTGTGCACACACCTGTTACTCTCCAGACTGAGGCTACATGGCTCTTGTCATCCCATCTTGACCATGGACCTAGATCTGCCATTACTCCCGTGTCACTGTGATGTATAAATGTGAGATTGTGGGTGCAATAGAATGTTCACACTGTTGAGACAATTAAACCTGGGTCCAAATCTAAGGATTACCTCTGTACTCTCACCACACTCACCTTGTGTGAAAATGGTGCTGAATAAATGACGTATTTGCAAGTGCTAAATAGGTGTTATTTCTGTCCCTTCTCTACTTCCCACCTCAGTGCATGTTTGAAGACTGATGTGAACACCCCTGATAAACTCACTTCAGAAAAGAAAAAAAGGCAGGAGATAAGACAGAAGACTAATTCCCCCTCCCATGAGCCTAGGCCAGTGTGCCCTCATTGGCTCCATCACCCCATCCTTAGCCACCTCCCCACTAGGAGCTCACTGCCCAGCTCAGGCCCTCCTGGTTGCCCTGCACCTCTCCCCTTGTTCTAATTCACGCTCTTCCTTGGAGACTCCCTCCAAAGTTCAGTGTTTTTCTTTCCACTTCACTTCTACCCACACCGAGCTTAAGAAGGCAAAGGGATATAGTCATGCAGAAGAGAGAGGATTCACTAGCTTAGCGCAAAGCAGAAGGAAGGAGGGGCCTGGGACAGTGCAGAGGGCTTTGATTAAAAGCATCAATACGGGCTGCCTGCCTGCACCCTCACACACGCGCGATTCTAGCTGTTTCAAGCGAACACTTTAGGGGCCAGTCCTTTAACTAAGCACTTAGCCCTGGCAAAGTCATATCGCAACTGCCATCAAGAGAGGGGAAGGGAGTGGCCATTGGGTCTGTAAAGTCAGGACTCAGAACTCCTAGACTGAGAGGAAAGAAGAGAATGGTCTCTACAGACCCAGGCTCGGCCATAGATCAGGGGCTTTCACCAGATCAGCCTGGCAGTCTGTACACGTGGGCATATACCCACCTCCCAGACCCAGGTTCAGATAGAGGAGCTAAAGGCTCTTAGTAACAGGTGACAGTGGAAAGAGGCCTTGAAACCAGAGAGACAATTGAGCCTCTCCCACTAACAGTGCAATCACTCTGATTCTATTTCTTTGAGAAAGAAAATAAAGCCTAACTCCCATAACTGTGGTAATTAATTGAGACAGCATTTACACAGAGCCAAACCTGGCATAGAACTTGAACTTAAGAAATGTCACTTCCCTTCGAACAGTGGATCAGCAACAAGCTTTTGAGATTGAGGCCTAGAATCTGTTTACATTAAATGGAGGCGAATGGAGGGGTACATTCTTTCTGATCTGTAGCATCTACTGATTTTGACCCTAGGATTGTAGGAACTAATGCTGTGTTTGCATCTATGTGCAAAATCTGTGTGCCTGATATGTCTGTCTCCATGGTACATTCCTCAAGCACAGGGAGCATCTACCGCCTCTGTCAATCTAAAAGCACAGGTTCCCAAACTGTACTCCTCTGTACGATGTTACTAGGCGTTAATGCCCATAAATATCCCATAGGAAAATAAACTTGGGGAAAGATGCATTACACAAAGGTTAACTTATTTCTTTTTTCTTCGTGTACTAAAAGATACTGTAAATTCTCAAGATGGGAATATGAAGCTTTTCCCAAACAAAGTTGATCATTAGAAAATGTTCCTATTTTATTGATACTTTGAGTAACAACGCCGAGTCTCTATGTGTCGATGCTGCTGTTGTTCACTGCCACCAAGTTAGAGAAGGAGAGCAGCTGTGTGGAAAGACCATGCTAGGGAAGGGAGAAGTAGAGCAGAGGTAACAGGGAGGGAGTGGCGTCGGCACTCCACAGTGTCTGCATGAAAAGGCAGGTGGGACAGCTCCTTTGTCTGTTAGTTGGAAAAGACGGTCAAAGAAAGGATCCAACCATGAAAAAGATGCACTTTGTTTTAAAGATGTGTATAGATTCTTTGACTAATCTGTAGAAATTGAGTCATTTTCTGATTAAATGTAGTCATTTTTCTTGCAAAAACCTTGTCCACGATACAACATCTATAAATTCTGTCTTTATTATTATCTTTGAAATTGGATAAAATCTTTTGACACCTGAGAGGCAATCTGCCTGTAGAGGTTTTCTGGATTTTTATGATGTTTCCCAGGCTTTTTCTTTTGTCTCACCGGATCTTAATTTTACAGCCTCTTAGACAACTCTGGAAACTTTTCAAAATTCCACTTCATTTTTTGTAGAACTAATAACTCACTTTTTACAGTCCTATATCACTGGCTTATAGTATGATTCAATTATAAATTTATAATCACACGCATGGCTACCATTGCCCAGCTTGGATACAAACATCACTGACTCCTAGTTGGATGGGCATGCTGAAGAATAGCCTGGTCTGGTACATGCACAGATGGCAGTTGTGGTTCACAGAAAGAATGCCGAGCGGTGCGTGATCTCCAGACCTGGCAGCACAGAGATTGGCTCAGGGGACTTCTGTAGTAGATACTGATGTTCCTGCTCCTTTCTCTCCCGCGGGTAGAAGTGAGTGTCCTTTGATTCCTTTGGTCCTGTGTCTGAGGCTCCTCCTTGTTACAGCCAGTCTGGCATTAGCAGCTTCAAAGTGTATCCTGTTCTAAAATGCTCCTGAGATGGAGGTTAAATCCCAGAGCCTTTTTGCTGTCCAGCTGCAGTGCGATTGGAATGGTTTCACCCATTAGCTGCTTCCTTCTGAATTCCTGAAGAAACCAGTGACATTTTCCTGCCATTGCATTTTGGGTGGAAGAGGCGAAACTGTTGCTAGAAACAGTCATTCCTCAGCAAAGCCAGCTCGGGTGAGAGACCACGGACGAGGGCTTCCCCAGGGAGGGTGGCAGGGGGTGCATATGGAGAGACAGGGCTGTGCCTCCCCAGCTGCTGCCCCCCACGCACTGTGCTCCACATTCTGGCAGCCGCCTGGGCCTGCTGGGCCATTCAGAAACCTCTTTCTTACCTGCTCATTGCTGTCCTTCCTTGACAATTCTGTATGCTGCCACCACCCAGGCACATAAGTAGTTTCAGAAAACCTTTCTGTGCCACTGAGAGGAAGCCCAGCCCCAAGGGCTCTGTCATCCATCACTGAGCTCCTCACCGCAGTTCCCAGACTCAGTCTCGGTGCCTTCCATGCAGCTTCTCCTTGAAGATGCACAAGCCTCCCAGTGATGTTGATATTGTCATTCGTCTCGGCAACAAGACATCTGAGGTTCACAGAAGTCAACACATTTCTCTGGTCACATTGGTAATGAGCTCACTCAGGATTTAAACCAGAGATGTGTGCTCCAGACTCTAGACTCTTATCCACTACCCTGAGGAAATCTCAAACAACTCCCAGGCAGAGTGTGGGTGAAGCTAAGGGAGCCCTGATTTACAGCCAAGGCAGAGTCCTCACCTAGTTC